TTGTTCTCCAGTTTGGCCTAATACAATGCAGATGGTTTAATTTGAGATTGTGCTTGGCACAGGTAATAATAGAAAGAATATCTCTGCAGATTAAAGCCCATATTCTTCAGACTTGCTTTTTCAGCAATAAAGGTAATATTTGAATATTTATCTCTTCCATTTATGGGGCACACAAGTGGTACAAAATTGAGGTTTATAAAAGACAATTGTTTATCAACTCTAATATTTCCAAACATGATAACACAAATGGTATAGTTTCTAAAGTAGCGTTCAAATGCAAACCAGAGCAGTAGAACAGTGTGGCTTGGTCTGAGCTGAGACAAAGCCTCCTTCAACTCCATAATTGCTAGGGCCAGGCTCCATCCTTATAACCTTCTATAGAGCTGAACATGAAATGTGGGGTCATGGAACCCCTGCTTGAAAGAGTAGAGAGAGATATGGGAAAAGGTTTCAAAGGGAGGAAGCACATAAAAGTTTATCACAGATAACAGATTACTCTATGCAGACAGAATATTCTTTCCCAGAATTTTTTGATGAAATTTTGTTTTAGTTGTTTTCTTGCAACCATGCAGTGATCTGGTGTCTTTTTTATGGAGTAATAAATAGCAACCATGTTGCTTCTGTTGTCATGGCTGTTTTTATACATATTAGGTTACCTATAAGTTAAGCTTACAGTTATATTTAGGCTCTGTCCAATATGTATAATTTTATATGCACATAACCTTTACATTTATTTTGCAGAATAATTTTATGGGTCTGTGACTATAGCTGAATGATGCATGTATGACAAATTTAGTGATTTAAGAAAAATGTGGTCTGTGCAAGTTGAATAAAAAGAGAATTTTGACAGGAGATATAAAGATATTGTAGAGTTTGGAGGCAATGTAGTGCATTGAAAAAAGAACTAACTAGGCTCCAATCCTGGCACTACCACTTGCAAACTGTGGCTATAGGCAAGTCATTTCTCCTTTATAAATCTATTTTTCTCATTAGCAAAATGACAATAGTAGGTAGTATTACCTTACTCAAAGATGCTCTTGAAAATTAAAGGATTTAATGTTTGTGAAAAAAAAAAGCAAACAACAACTGGCTTTATACTTAGTTTCTGGATTTCAATATGAATTTTGCTTTTAGCTTAAATTATTTTGGGAATAATTAGCTTTATCCTACCCCCATTGTTTTTTTTTTTTTTTCCCCTTGCAACTAAATGTGAGTCTTCCAAGGAATGAAGTTACAATGTCTTTCATGACATGAGTGTGAGGACAGAGTATTTGCATACTCTGTTTGATTTGGAATTTTAAAGCTCAATCAGGAATTAAAGTAAGCACAAGGAAGGAGCTATTAAGGAAACTGGAAAGGAACAGATAGTTCTAGAATGTGGCAGCCCCTGTTTGATTTTAAATGTAAGTTAAATATTAATTTTTCTTAAAAAAAAATCTTCTTCCTCCAGGGAGGCCTTTTTCTCTCACTCTCTTATGTTGACAGATTGTTGGTGGATTGCCTTTCACACTGACTTATTTGGAGGAAAAAAAAGTCTTCAGATGATCTTATTTGCGTAAGAAAAAAAAAATCTTCAAAACAACTCCCTTGTCGCCAGCATCAACAGCAGCTGAACACGGGTTGGGTTGTTGCACAGTGAGAATTATCCCTTTCATTTCAAAGGAATCAAAGACATTTGGGGCAAGCAAAAGCCCTGGTTTACACATGATCAAAATAAACTAATATCAGGTTTGCTTACGCTAAGTGTTGATTCAAGCTAATACTGAAGTCCAAGTATACTTTTCATTCTTTCTATGAGGATTATGTAGAAAAGAGAAAAACCTAAAAGTCTAAAAAGCTGAGCTGATTTGGAGAAATTAAAAGCATTTGAAGATCTTCTCTTTGTCTGAATTCCTTTCTGCTGATAGTTTCCTAAAACAAGGGGGCAAAATGAAGCTGTTGACTTGTAAACAGAAGGAAATTCAAGCTTCTGTCAAGACTCATTCCAAATACAATAAACAGGAAAATGATTGGATCCCTTTTAAAGTTTTTGGATGGGCTTTCTTGTGCTTTGGCTGTTTTTTGAATTCGTAAAGACTGGGGAACAAAAGTGAAATTTTAGGTTACCAGTTCCTATCTATCTTAGCAGAAACTTGAACATTTCATGTTTCCAACAGCACTTTTCTCAAATCATAAACTTCTTTCTTTCATGTACTTTTCTTTTTCTTAAGAAAAAGTAGGAATTCTCAAAAATATCATCACCCAGTTCTCCATGACATTTAACATATATATTTTTAATAATAAAGCACTCTTCTCCTGCCACTGCCTATCTAAGTTTCCTCATTTATAAAATGAGGGGATTGGACAAGGCTTGCCGTGCCACATTCTGTTCTGTACTGGGTTCTTCAAGTGTCCAAATTTGGAGCTATGGACACTGAAGCCTGTAATTCTTTTTTGCGGGGAGGCTGTTCTGCATTATGGGACAGTCAACACCATCCCTTCCTTGTACCCACCAGACACCAATAGTATGAATGTTACTTCCCCCACACCCTAATTGACAATCACAGATATCTCCAGACATTTTTACATCTCTAGGTGGGCAAAATAACTCACAGTTGAGAACTACTGCTTCAAGTCACTAAAGCAGTGGTTCGTAAACTCTGGTAAATATCAGAATCTCCTGAGAACTTGGAAAAAATATAAAGACCTAGACTTGATTCTACTTCAAAATGCCAGGGCCTCTGTGTGTTTCTCTGTGTTTTTTAAATAATTAGATTTTTTTTTTTATAACACAACAAAATTGGGCACTCTAAAATGGGGTCCAGTTAGCTGTCTAAGAAATGAAGCAGCTATCGATGAAGTGTATTCCTGGCACATCCAGTTCAAGAGTGCAAGAAACTATTGGAAACTGTGTCTTTCCACACAGTAGGTCGATTGGGCAGAGTGTGACTAGGACTTAACATCTCTGCACTGAACGGTTCTTATCACCATATGACAATAAACTTTTTGATAGTCATAAACTTTTTGATCTGGTCCAGCCTTAAAAGGAAAATAAGATTGACCTTCCTATGGAAGAGAGATCTGAGAGATGACACAAAGCCCTGCCTACTCTCATATCTCTGACTCATGAATACTCCGTAGATCCTGGAACTCCAGTTCTTAGACTTATTCCTTGGAATGAGGCATTTTCTCTAAACCAATAGTTTTCAACCTTGGCTTCACACCAGCGTCATTTGGGAACTTCTAAAAAATCCCTAGTTTTGAGTCATATCCCAAACCAATTAAAGCAGAATATCTCAGAGCAGGAACCAGGAATTAATACTTTAAGTACCTTGGATCTTTGTAATGTTCAGGAAAAATTGGCATACTAATTAAAGGCTTTCCCTAAAATCAAATAGGAGTTTTGCAGAAGGAAATAAAATGAAGGTAGGATATGCAAAAAGGCTTGACCATTCAGCCCCACTTTGGAAACCAGCAGGATATTTGTGTGGCTGAGGCATTATAGGCTTTTGACTCTATGCGGATAGATGATCTAGAAATATTTCTTAATGTAGAGATAAAATATAGCAAAGCACTTGGGTACTTTGCCCACAGTCCCACAGTAGTACTTTCTATCCTAATGTGTTTTCAAAACTTTTCACAAGTAGATTGATAACTCTAGACTGCAGAGTTATCTGAAAACAGAAACAATCCCTAGAGAAAAAGTCTGGGCAGATGACACAATTCTGGAACCCAGAATATCCAAAGAATTTAGTATACCTTCAGCTCCAAACTAGAGCTTGTCCATCAGTAGGATGAGACAAATTAGTGAGGTTTGGTAGAAAAAAATATATAATATGAACATAATTCTTTAAAGTTGCATAGGTAGGGCTATTCATTGCCAGAGTTGTCAAACCCAACAAAATGAATGAAGGGATGACAAGAAACTCTGGCAACCTTCTCGGCACAGTGGTCACATAGACATTTTCTGGGAAATTGAGATCAACTGAATGTTATATGTGGTCTTTTCCCATTGCCCTTCTTCCACTCACCATCCAAATGGCAAGAGACTTTGGTGAAATTCCACAGGCATTAAGAGACAAAAGGAATGCCCCCAGGAAGCAGGCTGGAATCCAGGGCCCAGCACATAAGCTTGCAGAGAGTGTGCAGCCAAGGGACAGGAAAGAGGGGTCACACCTCCTCTAAACGGGTGTTTATGATAGTGGAGAAGCCAACGAACAGAAACACCTCCAGCTAGTTTCTTGGAGTCTGGCAGCTATTTCTGTCAGCTTTCCCATTCCTAGTTTGATACTCATTGCTTAAGTTCTGGAGGTACTAGATTTATTAAAATGACTCTTTGTTCAATTCGTACAAGAATTTATATCTGAATATCATTTGACATGTGGACGTTTGTCAATTTTAAGAGATGAGGAAACTGAGGCTCAGTTACTCAAGGTTACACAGCTGGGAAACTGACAAAGGCTGAGGGTTAAGTACCGTTTCTCCTTTCTAGCCATTCTCATTCTCGGTCCCTTAACGCAGACACAGAAGTATTGTGTTTACTGTTCTTTCTTGCCCCAGTCCACAAACTCACCATCCATACAAAGTGGGATGAAAAGGCAAAGAACAGATCTCCCCACCCCACCCGCCAAGGTTGATCCCAAAGGTCCAAGGTCGAGTCGTTCCTTTGCCACATATCAGCCGCATAAACTTGGGCAAGTCACTTTTCTTTTCAAACAGAAGGACCCAGCAGACTGTAAGATCATGTACACATTCCAGAAAATGACTTAAGACCCTAACCTCACTAAAACACTTTTTTTTTTTCAACTCTAGAAAAAAGAATAATAATACCGGCTTCTGCAACCTAGAGGAGAACACACGTGTAAAGCTCCTCCCCCGGGTTTGGCCTCAAGCGGCGCTAGCCCTCTGCCTGGCGCTTGTGTGCCGCCCCAGTCTGGCAACCCGCGGCTGCGGCTGGAAAGCCTGGGAGCGGGGCTTGCGGAGGCTCGGGCAGCAGGAGGAGCGTGTGAGCTGTGGGCGTCCCTTTAAGAGCGGCGGGACCGGCAGAGCCTCCGCCTCTCTGTCCGAGGAGCGCCGGGCGGTCACCTGGGGCTGTCGGACAGCCAGATCTTGCTGTGGTACTGGCGCGCTTGCCTGAGGAGTTGGGAGACAGACCCCGTCGCGAGGTGCTGCGGAACGGTCTCCCAGCGGCTCTCTGCTGCGGAAGATGCAGGAGCGCATCTGGGCGTTGCTGCTGCTGCTGCTGCTGCTACCGCCGCCGCTGTGTGGCGGCCCCCCGGACAGCCCGCGCCAGGAACTAGAGCCTGAGCGCGGGCCTCTGCAGCCCTTCGACCTGCTCTACGCCAGCGGCGTGGCTGCCTATTACAACGGGGACTACGAGCAAGCGGTGCGCGACTTGGAATCGGCGCTGCTCAGCCACCGGCGCCTGCGGGAAGTCCGCACGCGCTGTGCCCGCCACTGCGCCGTGCGCCGCCCTCTCGTGCCCCCCGGTGCCGGCCCCGGGGCTGAGCTGCCCTTCTTTCGCGCCTTGCTGGAGCGGGCGCGCTGCTACCGCAGCTGTGAGACCCAGCGCCTCGGGGGACCCGCGTCCCGACACCGCGTCAGCGAGGATGTGCGCAGCGACTTTCAGCGCAGAGTGCCCTACAACTACCTGCAGCGGGCCTACATCAAGGTACCCTGACGCTGGCGTTTCCACACCTAACGCCCCCTGTGGCTCTTGGATGTGCTCTTGAGTCCTCGGGTTATCTTAGTATTGCACTGCTTTGCAATCTTTCAGAGTGGATTTCTTAAGCATCTGTCTCATGTTTATGAATCTTGACATCTATTGGCCCAAACTTTGTACTAGATGAACTTGGGCAAGTCTTTCTCTGACTCTTCCTCTCTCTAAACATTAACTTTAGTCTCAAAAAGAGGGCTGTACTGATTGGATAATATTTAAAGCACTCATTTAAAACAGCTGGGTCTATAATAAGCTTTCTTCTCAAGAATCATTCTTGGTATATACCTATTCCCATCTCTGTCTCCTCTCCCTCACCAGTACTATACTCCAGTCTGCATCTTTTCTGGTAAGTTTAACAGAATGTGTTTTCAAGATAGCAGAGTAAATGTGTTCCTAAACAAATGTTTCTCTCTCTCTCTCTCTCTCTCTCTCTCTCTCTCTCTCTCTCTCTCTCTCTTCTATAAAAAAGTAAAGTTCCAGATTACAGAGAAGAAATGCTAGGGGGAGGTGAAGCTCTGAGGGACCATCTCATTAAAATTATCCACAAGTGCTGATTTTTTTTTCTCCTTTGATGGAAGCCTTCCAGTTCCTGAAGTTTTACATTGGACTGGATTACGTGACATCAGATGCCCAGGGCTCTTATCTTTGTGTACTTAACATCCATGAAGTTAGTGTCGGGAGGAATACACTGTAAATTGGTCTTATTTCCCACATCCACAATTTTGAAGATCTGGATGCTTCAGCAGAGAGAATTTAGAATGAATTCCTCACACCTGCCCACTCACCCATGTTACTCCAAATTTACACAATTTCTCCCCACTCCTGACTTTCTGTTTTAGTATAGCAATGTCTCTTCCCAGCTGTTGGAGGAGGGGCAGCTCAGGGGGTTGATTGGTAGTGCTACAGATGGACCAGGCTGCATTTCTAAGGAGAAGAAAATATACATCATGTTCCAACATTGACATGCCTTTAGCATTGACATGCCTTTGAAGCTTATCCCACAGGTCTATGTTGTCACTGGTCATAGACTCTCAGGTTTACAACTGTCAGAGGAGTTATGAGGTCTCAACTGAGACTTTAAACTCTCAGTGTGTTGTTTGTAGCTTAGGTCCCGGAGCTCACTAGATTAGTGCCTTGGGCAGGAAAGAAGAAAGCCCACATGCTTTCCAAGATTTGTCTCTTACATGCTTGTGCCTCCTATTGAATTTGCTAAGGCACACATAAAGTATAACCCTCCTTTCTTTTAAGTGAGTGGCAGTTTGGAATGGTCTTCCAAAAACCAGTCAATTCTGGACAGAGAAGGCATCTTGAGTACCTGACAGCAGAATGTGGGTTCTGTAGAATGGTCTTCCGGGAAGTCTCAGAAGTGAGAGGTTGGCCATCTTGCTGATGATTTGTTCACATGTATTGGACAAATTTTCCTTTCTCAGGTCTGGGGAAGGAATGCATATTCATGTTTGGGCATATAAAAATAACCATGAGGTAAATGTCAATATGTGGGTTTCTTTGGTTCTATAATTATGTTTGCTACACTATGAATGTTAACATTTGTCAGCCAGTCCCAAGCTCTTGTAACCTGGTTGGAGGTCAAAGAAGGTGAAGACATAGATTTAACAGGACTCAAACATTTGCAATTAATTGTTTATAAGATCAAGGCACACATGGACCCTGTTGTGGTTGTAGTAATGGGCACTGTCTGATGAACCAATGATGTTGAAGAAATCCTTTCATAAATATTTGGCATCATCTGTTCATTTGTGCTCTACTAGCAGTATTTCTAGGGGCAGAAGCAGGCTTCCATTTCACCTCCACTCGAATGGGCAAAGTCTCTTGCTTGCACATAATTGATAATCTCTTAAGAAGGAAATATTTTTATCCATTTGGAAATTTGCTTTGTATGGCTGGAGTTCGTTAACATCTAAAAAATGCTTCATCATAGTTCTTTCCTCACCCGCATCCTCTAAAAATTCTACAATTTTAGTTTTTGCTTGCTGTCCAGAGGACTTTACTCATAAAAACAATACATACTAGCATTTGAGACTAAAACAAACCTCATAAATGTAAAAGAACATTCCCAGGCTTTGACATATCTGGATTCTGGTGTGTTCACTCACTGATAGGATGAGTTCCTTACACGTACTTGGGTCTGATCATGGTGCCTTGTATTGTTGAATTACTTTTGCCATCAGTGATCTGGTTTGTAGTTAAAAGTATAATCCTAGGCCAAATTGAATTCATTGAGGATCGGAAGTCTTCATAGAGCTAAAAAATAGTTATTTTTAGCTAGGAAGTTCACAAACTGCAGAAGGTCTTAGGAGGTACTGCTTCTCCCCCAAATCATGGTTACTGAGCCACCAATGGAAACAGATTCTTTATGCTGGTATGTTGGAAATGGAGGATTGAAAATTGTGATATTGAGACCCATGAGTGAGATTCCTTTTTGCACAGAAAGTAATTCCCAGAAAAGGAAAGGAGCTTACTCAGTGTCATGTCTGTGGTAGCAGAGCAGTCTGAGTTGATGCAATGAGCACGGACCTGGGAGTTAGGAGCGCAGGCTCTGCCAATAGATACTGGATCCAGTGCTTGCCCTGCTATGCCCTTAGCCCGTGGGATGGCCTCAGGTTCCAAAGGATGCTGCATTCCCCAGGGCTCTCCTTATGCCAGATTTGGACAGCTCCAGGGATGAGTAGAGTAAATCCTTGCCCTGTGGGATTACAGACAACACTTTTCTCTGAAGGCCTGCTCCATAGACTCTTCCTTGAGGCCTGTCATGTTGGGAATTTGCCTGAACAGTTATGAGGCGGCAGTTCCGCCTGGCTCCTAGCCGCACCCTTTTGGTGTGTGTGTTAAGGCAGAGTGAAACTCTTCAAACTTTTGATTTTATCATTTTAGATTATAAGATATAATTCATGCTCCACAGCCTAAAACCTAAGGAATAGTTTTTATTGTAGTTTCTGCTGAGAAACTTTCAGTAATTTTCCCTTACTACTAAACAACGCCCATATAGTTTAATTCAGCTTCAGTTCCACTCAAATTCCCCAGTTCTATCTCCCCCAACTCTGCTACCTTCCAGCCAAAGGGAACAGCATCTGATTTTCTTGCATCTTTTGCCATTGTTATTCTTCTTAGGAAGCCTGCAGGCTCTGGATTAGGATAGATAAAGAGACTAACCTAAAGTCTACCTTCTCCAATTTAGCTGCATGAGTGTGAATACAGTACATAAGCTTTTTGAGCTTTAGTCTTTTTATCTGCAGAATGGGGAAATAATAGGACTACTTGCGTGTTTTAGGTTAAGTTTACCAGATGACTGATGTCAAGTGCCAAAAACAGGGCCTATTCCCAGCAAACATTAGATATGTGTTTATTCTTATTACTAGTTACAGTGGTAGCTTTTCCTCTTCCTTCTTTACATTTTCAAATCATAACTATCTTAACATAAACATACCTATCTCTATGAGGCATTCCTGACTCCCTTTGCAATTCCCAGAAGTTCATCATATTTCCCTTTTCTGAATATGTACAGGAGGAAATTTGTTCCTCTTCTATCATTTTTTCTTTCATTTTTAACATTACTTTGGGAAAATTGGTATATCTGTTCTCAGTTATGTGAGCTCCTTGAAATCAAGAATGACATTAGTTATTTTTGCATCTCTAAAGTAGGGACTCCCAGATCTGGGTGATTATTAGATGGAACTATTATTTGTAATATCTGGGGCATTAAATATGATTTAAAATTAGTGCTTTATTAGGGTCAGTAGGTCTCAGTTGGGTCATCAACAACCATATTCCTTCCAAATATCTCAGCTGGGATCCTAGGTGTAAATACTCAATATTGTGTGTTGATTGAATCATAGCTTGGTTCTATTTTCATGAAATAGTGTTAAAATTTCTGTGTGGTGGCAGAAAGTTTTTATTACATCAGTTGTGTAGATTCCTGGCTGGTTAATTGGGAGAGAAAGTTACAGGAGTGTGGACTGTGGATATCTCACTGTTTCCTTCTTGCAAGTTCTGGCTAATGTGGCAGTCTCCTGCCTATACTCTCCAGTTTTTTGTATTTTAGTTCATATTGTTTAAAACTATGCTTCAGAAAATCCTTGGCACATTTTATTTGTTTTATGTATATTTGTGGAATTTAAACAGATGTAAGAAAGAGATTTTCCTTTCTTATCTGTGTCCTTGATAATTATAAATTGTTTGAAAGTGTCTGCTCTTTTCTCCCCCTGTTGCTAGCCTTTTAAGAAAAACAAACAAACTGGTGGTGTTTTTTTCCTTTTTTTTTTTTAAACCTAAAGTTAGCTTTCTCCTGCATGTTTTGTTGCTTGTATTAGTGTTTGTGCCATTTGGCTTTTGTTATTCTTCTTGGGACTAAAAGGAGGGAAAAAAAGGAAATGGAATTTAGTCAATTCTCTCTCCCTCCCAGAATCATCTTCCCCAAATCCCTTTATCTTGGCCACTATTAATTTTATTAGTGGTTGGTAGAAAAGAAAAAGGTAAACTCAGATTATTTCCTCACTCTAATTCTGCTTACTGACTGCTTTCGCCTTTCTAGAAGGAATGCCTTAAAGAGAAATTGAAAACTCAGACAACTGTCTCATACAGATCCTGTGTTGCTCCAGAACCCTTAATTGAACTATTTTTACCTGTTTGTTGAATTATTTCAAATAAGATGTTGATTTTGTCTTTCTGAAATAGCTGTTCTGAAATTATTCTAATGGTTATTTCCTCAGGAGATGAGACTTTCTTCTCTCACACATAATTGAAACATCTTTGTGCTTGAATCATCAAAATGTACTACTCACCTTATTATGTCCCACTCCTTGGGAAGGAAACCTGGGAGATGCTTTGTCTTACCAGTTCCTGGGTCTAGTGTGCCGGAATCACAGTTATTTCCTCATTGGGGTTGTCCATCTGTGGGCTGGTCGGTCATCTCTTTATCAGTCATCCAGTTTCTT